TGATGGAGTATTTCCCTCTGCGCGAACAGACCAGGACTCGTGGACATGGACTTACGCTGTTGAAGCTTTCGTCCGTAGGATTACCTCTTCGGTTCCGGCTATCGCGAAGGGTAACCAATCTTTGGAACTCCCTTCCAGCTGACGTGGTGGAAGAGGTCAATGATAAGATGTTCAAGAGGAAGCTCGACAGCGTCCTGCGAACAATGTGGTATGCAGATCTATCATGAATGAGATCTTCGAGTCTGTGGTGATGAGGCTCATACGGGAAATTACCCTCTGCCTCTAACTGAAGATTATTGAACATTGAACATTAAAACCGATTTCATCTTGAGACCGCATCGTGAGTAATCTCGATGGTCGGATGAGTGGACAAACAAACATGTGATCGTGGTGAACCAATTTCCGGTCTCACGATTAAATGGGTTTCAGTAATCTGTTTTTATTTTCCCATGACAATTTTATTCCCAAGTAGTGATACATATATTGAGATGTATTGGCATGCATACGAATCTCTGAAAACGAGCTTGTTCGCCACTCTGTTGTTTTGTTTGAAATGTACTTCAGCTTTGTTTAAGGATTGTTTCTCGGTCTAATCTCATGTGTAGAAGTACAACAATGATTACAGGGGTTGGGTGATTTAAAGTCCTGATAGGTCCATGACTGGCGGGGGTGAACAGCCTGTGCTAAACAGTGAATCGCTCCTATGTATGATGTGGTGCAAAACTGAACACCATTTACAGTTGTGTACTCTTCTGACATCGATGCTCAGGCAATTCTGCGATTGTCATGAGCGCCAGCAAACTGATGACTACTGGGACCGACGGAGTCCAAATCGGACGGCAAATTAGGCATTTTTATGACCATGGAACAGCTATAGGGAGATGGATGCGATATTTTGACTGATTGATCAGTTGTGCGAACTGAAGCGCAATAATTCTTTTCGGGGGAGGGGGAGGGGGCGTCAGCGCTTCTGATCACACGGATCACTTGGGCTCTGTCTTCGATTGTCCCCGACGCGGTTCTGATAAATGCCTGCTTTACTCCTGCCAATGCAAATCTTTTGTTGCTTGTCACTGTTATAACACGTGTAGTTTGTGCTTCGCCTGTTTTCGACACAGCACTCCATTTTGACTTAACTTTTAGGTGACATTTGCAGCCTAAGTCGGCTTTCGTGGATGCATCCATGAAGTATCATGGGAGTATGAAACAAAGTGGTACCCTCGGTGCCACCCGGTGTTTCAATTAGACTAGGCGATTCTAACTCTGGCAGCCAAATCTTGTCTGTAGGACGATAAAGCAGTGGTCTCGAAGCAATTTTTGTTTATTCACGTTTAGTCAGATTCGGGATCTATTCTCCTATCTGCCTCATGGCGAAGCAGTGGGCAGAGCACTGCTCGACCAACCGTAGCGTTGCAGTGTCGTATAGCCTCTTTCGTATGCACTACCAAGAAATGAGCATTTTTCAGATTGTTATTTGGTTCTTTTTACATTATTCGATTACTGATAATAATACACTCGTGACCGTCAGTAATGCCTTATTACTACTGCATTCGTTTTCCTCATCTTAATTCGATTAACATCATGGACCTGTCCTGGCGTTGTTTTCAGTTCTGGGATAAAACTTTTCGAAGATTTTTGTGTGAAAAATAACGAAGAGCACTTACTCGTTGTTTTATTCTTATCAGGACTCATCAGCAGTGTGAGCTGTCTTCGTGGTCCTACGCAGACTGTAAAGCTTATGGTCGGAAGCCAAAAACCTTAGCCCTAATCAGCTCACTCCTTCACAAAACATTCTTTAAAAATGTATCATAAGTGTATGGAGGTTGAATGAATTCACTACAAGCGAAATCCACACAAATGTAACAGTGCACACAGACATTGTGTGCCCGTGAATTCACACAGAGTAAAAGAAGAACATCGGTTAGTCGGAAGTGAACTTAACCGAGCCAGAGCTCACTGTGGTGTTCTTATTGCGCTACTTTCGAAGGGGGAATTATTTCTCGTAATTTTTCATCACGTAGAATCAGTATCTGTGCATTTGCACAGGCTGTTCTCTTATTGCCGCTCACTGTATACGCCCTCTCCATCTTGGCCCACCTTAGTGTAAACCTTCTTCCCCGTTTTTTTCAGCTTCTACCTAATTATACTCAACACTCGTACGCCGTTCGGTCCCACGTACGCGGATTCCTAGTCCGCACCGTTCCTTTCACCTGTTCCAGTCAGTTAAGCTCCATCATCACTGTGTTACGGAGACATGCATCTCTGCTGGCTTTCTACAAAACGTTTGTTCTAC